ACTAGCAAGGACAGGTCTAGAAGATGACAAGACCAACTGAAGGCCAAGACAGGAAAATAAATGGATGCATGAATGTTGGCTGGAAATGTTCTATTTACATTCACAAAGAACGGAAGAAGTTCTGGGAAAATAAAACCTACTCTCTGTGCATTGCCAGGAAAAAGCAACATCTGGCTCCCTTCCATCTCGCTCCTTCTGGGCTCTCCAGGGCTCACAAGACAACCCACAGTGAGTGCAGCCACCAAGCAGCCCACCCCGCAAGGACACAAGGACAAATGGAAACAGTCCTGGCTGTCAACAGGAAAGAAGGAGAGCAAACCAGCTATCGGACCTTTATCTACAATAGTGCTTGTGGCAATAACACAATATAAATAGAATCAGCAGTCAAGTTTCAGTTTGATTGTGCTAAGGGCAGTCCCCTAGTTTACTACCTTGGAAAAGGCTGCCTATGTCCTAAAACTAACCTCATTCCTAAATCTATCAGTAATGGCTTGTTGGTAGTTCCATCTTGTGGAATATACTAAAAAGCATATGTACTTCACAGGGCCTGGTTTTCCAAAGCCTTGCAGTTTCAAATATTGACCTTGCAAAGGACTGGAAATTTCCCTCAGGTATAAGTCTCTGTTGCAAGATAAGGATTGTGGCACAGCAGGTTGCTTGCTCAAAGACAGACCAGTTACTGATTGTTATGTAAAGACACTAAGATATTGCTGTAGGAAGGAATGTTTGCTAAGATCAAGCCTTTGTTAATTGCCTTACTGGAGTGTCATCTGGCTTGTTTCACTGAGAGTTACCGGCCTATACTGTTAAACTATAATCCCACCTATGTCTCTTCCTGTAACTTCCTGGTCTGGAAAATAAATGTAGGAAGAGAACCCCAATTCGGCATTAATTTCCCAAGGAAGGCATGGCTCTCGCTTGAGCATCACAAAGGGAGATTAACCACTTTGGGGCCTCTCACTGCTCAGTAGAGATGCGCTTTGAGTAATCCTTTGTGTCTCCGTCATCCAGGGGAAGTGGGGTGACAAATCTGTGGGGGGGTGAAGTAACACAAAGCAACACCATCTATTATCACCACTGTTTCCAAATAGCACAAGAGATTGAGATACAAAGTGTAGGCTTGCTTGATTTGCTGATTTAGTGATTTTTATTACCTTTTATTTTTATATCCTTACTTCTCTACCTCCCATATACAAGCATTTATGTGATATACACACACATACATCTTTTATCTGAATATGTTTACACAATACACAATACAGTAATCTGTTTTATATGCATGTATTTTAATGCACACAAATGGCTTTACATCATATATCTTATTGTTTCTGTGTCATATCTTATCCTGTTTTTATGATCTCATCTGTGCTGGTTTGTGTACATTTAATCAATTGCTTTTTATTGCTGCATAATACCCCATATGAACATTCAGATTCCCCCAATTCTCCAACACCACAGAATTACTGCAATGAACAATATAGACCTGTATGAGAAATATTCTGGGATATATACCTAGGGGTGGATATTGCTGGGACAGAGCATATGTGTATACACAATTTAGCTAAGCAGTGTCCACCTGATCTCCACAATAAGGGCACCAGTAGGAGGGGTAGGTTCCAACGTAGAAGCCAGAGTACAAATCACAGCTACCCCACTTGCTAGCTGTGTGAGTTAGGTATCTACATCTCTTTGCCCCTTTTCCTCATTTATAAAAGTGTGAATAATTATAGTGTCTATCTCATAAAGTTACTATGAGAATTAAATAAGAGAACAGATTAAAGTGTTTTGCACAGTATTTGACACTTTACAAGTAAATAAATATCACAACTGATTGTCATTTTTCCCACCCAGTAAGAGATTTCTGATTTTCCAGTACACTCTGAATCTTCATACTGGAAGGTCAGTAGAGCTTCCCTCCTCACCGCACAGAAAAGGAGAGTAAGAGCAGAGAGATCCAGTTTCATGCACAAGGACACTGGGTGTTCCCGGAGGAGTAATCTGAATGCAGCTTCCCAGGGTCCCTGGGTTCCGGGGCCATGGTGGTGCAGGGACTCCATTCTGACAGAAGTGAGTGACAACCAGAACGTGAAATCTGCCCCCTGGTATCTACTCACACCTGGTACTGGATGGCATCTATATACCTCCACTCAGCGTCATGCGCTTCCAGGAATTCTTTCCAGTCACGGTGATGGATTTACATTCATTTCCCAGAACACACACTGTCTGAGAGCCACACGGATCTGTGGCCACAGAGCCCAGAGAAGGTAACTGAAATAATTTTGTAGGGGAGGCAGCCATGGAGGGGAACCGCTGAGACAGTCCTTCAGGAAAGAATTCACCATTCATCTGTAAGGAATGCAGTTGGCAACAGCCTCCAGGGGCAGTGCTTTCAAACACCTGTCGCAGCTTTTCAGCCAAATCAATGATCTTCTAAACAACCTCCAGCCAACGACTGAGCATGGCAGGAGAAGCAGGACCTGGCCATTTTTCTTCACAGCATGGGACTCCTCTGACAGGCAGCCTTTGCCCCAGAGCTGTCCACTGAGTTGGCCAAAACTTTGTCACATTTGCCTGCTGGTCTGATGCTCTTCCTATCCAGTTCTGCCTCCTGCCTTTTTATCTTTCACAGACATTACCTGCTCCCCCAATAAGCCTCTTGCACCCCTAAATCCACCTCAAATTCTATTATCAGGAGGACCCACTGACAGAGTAAACAAAATACTAAACATAGTCGTCCCCACTACCATGTGATAATCTGACTTTAGGAAATGCATTGCTGGGCTCTATCATGACATGATGTATAAAATGCATAGGTTTCAAACTGTGCATTGCAGCAGAGGCGGCGTCTTTACCAACCAAAAACAACAGAGATTTTAAAACAATTGATGAGCACTAGTCTATGTCATCTATTTTGTGATGCAATCCAATGTTTATTGAATACTAAACATTTATTCTACACAAGCTCATTCTGCTTTGATAAGTTCCCTTTGGTCTTGTATCAACATATTATAATTTTTAAATATATGTATTAGCTAGTTATTATTAACTGAGTACTCTAAAAATAAATACAGCCAGGCTCATTTTTCATACTGTCTCGCATACTTGAGCTAATAAAATCAGCAACTGACACTTGGAGTAATATCCAGAATGTTTTTAATCTCTATTATATCTCCAAGTTAACCAATGGAATTTCAGAGTAGAGAATGACCATAACCTAAAGCCAAGATTTACAAAATCTTAGTCAAATATGACTCTTTTGAAGATAAAGAAACTGAAGGTCAAAAAATGTGTCGATATTTCAATGTAAATCACTTTAATTTAAACTTCAGATATTGTTTAAAATGCCAAAAAAATTGATGTTTGTAATACGTTAGTACAAACTGTGATTTTATTCAATTCTTAATCTATAAACATAAATGGAAATTAGTTGAAAGCAATGATTCTCAACCAAGAGGGATTTATGCCTCCCAAAGGACATTTGGCAACATCTAGTGACATTTTTGGTCATCACAGTTGCGGGGGTGCTACTGGCATCTGTAGAGAGAGGAAAGGGATGCTACTAAATATCTTACAACATATGAGACAACTCCCCAGAACAAAGAATTATATGGCTCAAATGTCATTAGCGCTAAGGTTGAGAAACCCTGGTTTAAAGTTATTAAAGAAAAAGTATTCAGTGTCCTGTCTGTTTTATTGAAAGCAAAAGGAAAAGGAAATATTTTATCCATAGTCCCATAGTGATTTTTTTCTTTATTTAACTAAATAATATCTCCCTGTTTTCTTAGAAAAACTCATCTAGAACACTGAATAAAATAAATGGTTAGAGTTCATTTGTCCCTTATACAAGGAGGTGGTGGCGTTTAGCATATTATCCAAATATCCTATGAGACAGAAAGTAGGAAGTACATTAGAGATCATCGGGGTCCTATAATTGTCATGGAAATTTATCACCAAATGCTTTGGGATTTTTTTCCCATGCATTCACATTCCTTCTGTTAAGCAGGTGATTTTTTTCAAGTTTGAGTGTTCCCTACTTTTAAACGTTTATTGTTAATCTTATTAGTCAATGTATGACACACGATTGCTTGACTTTTTAACAGAATAATTCTACATGAACCATCCTGGTCATGTTTCGGTATTTAGCAAGGCACCTATTTCCTAAAAATCCCTTTTAAGTTTTAAATTATTTAGTTATGACTATGACAGATAGGTTTCTTTAAACTGCACTTTTAGAATAATTGAAATTTAAACTGGTCATCTGAAAGCCAATAACCTAATATCGGTACTTAAACCAATCCCTCAATTTTCTCACGGTGAAAGATTTAAAAAAAAAAAAAAAAAATAGGGCATCATTTGACGGTCAAGGTGCGCTCCCTACCGAACCAGAGAGAAATAACCACGATTCAGTTTAAATTCTCGGGGTTGTTAAACTGCACAACACCCACCAGCACCTGCGTCTTTCCAGCTCATCTGAGAAACTGACTGCAAACCCTACATTTTATTTGACTCAAAAAAAAAAAAAAAAACATGCGGACGAATTGTGCCTTGCACATTATTAAAGAGGCTCCATTGTGAAAGATGGCCCAGGAAAATCTCTAAACGGTATTAGCAGCATGAAAACGACAAGCCCCACTTATTGATAACATGAACATCTGAGGTGTGCTCGTACTGAACACGATGTTTCTATTCTATCCAGTCTCTCGCTTTTACGATACGTGCTTCTGCGGCAGAGAGAGCCCGTCATGCTTTCAGCCAGTGATCACAATCGATTCTCCAAGTTTAATTTCTGAAAAGCGACACCAGCAGACAAAAATGACTTGGATGAATCAAACGGGGACTACGGCTGTAAGAGTCAGGGAAGTTCCTCAGGCTCCCAGCCCGGCGCTCCCAGCCCATCTGCGCGGCTCCCGGTGCCCGCCGCACCTGCCGGCCGTGTACGGATGCGCCGCTGGGAGCGCCCGCGGCTCCGGGAAGCAGGTGCCGGGGACACTGGCTCTTACCTGGGCTCCGACAAGGAGACAGCTGCCGAGCACCAGCCACCCCCAGACGTGGGGAGACGTCCCCGGCCCGGCCATGCCCGGAGCAGCCAGAGCGAGAAGCAGGGACCGTCTTCCCGGAGCCCGGGAGAAGCTTCCAGACTCTCCAACTTGGCTGGCGCGGGGCAAACTTGTGGCCGGGACCGAGGCGCAGCGGGTCCCGCGTCTCGGAGCCCGCGTCCCGCCGCGCCGCCGCTCGGGCTGGGTCTGGTCCTCCCGGGAGAGCCGCGCGCGTCCCGGGCTTGACTCGCAGCCACGCGTCCCAGCGGCGAGGAGGGAGCGGCGGGAAGGGGGTGGCCCCGCTCCCCGCGCTGCTGCAGGAGCGGCCGCAGGCGCCCGAGCTCCTCCCAGTCAAAGCGTAATAACTTCGTATAGCATACATTATACGAAGTTATACGAGGGGTGGCCCCGCGCCCCGCGCTGCTGCAGGAGCGGCCGCAGGCGCCCGAGCTCCTCCCAGTCACTTGGTCCAGCAAGCCAGGGGCTAAGGGCAGCCGATCCACAGGCACTGATGCCCCACCCCCGGTCGCGCCACTCCGCGCCGGGGCCCTGCGCCGCCTCTAGCGGCTCTCTGGGTCCTTGGGGAGTGGTCCAAAAATTCCTTCCTGTCCAGTGGCGCGCAGACCATCAGCCTCGGGGACGCTAGACGGTGTGGTTAAAGACCAGCGAGGACAGGCGGGTCCTGCATCTGCGGCTGTGTGCTCAAGTCTCTACAGCCCTCTAAAGTTACTCTCTGATGCGTTGTCTCCTGACCGCTATAGTAACACCGTGTGTGGGTGTGGGTGTGGGTGCGAGGGTGTGTGAGAGTGTGTGTGTGTGTGTGGGTGTGGGTGAGGGTGTGTGTGGGGGGTGTGAGTGTGTGAGAGTGAGTGTGTGAGAGTGTGGGCTGTGTGGGGGGGGTGAGGGTGTGAGTGTGGGTGTGTGAGAGTGAGTGTGTGTGAGGGTGTGTGTGTGTGTGTGTGTGTTACATTATATATACTCGTATATAGATAGATAAAGAGATATGGATAGATAGAGGTATATTTCTGGGTCAAATTTTCTTTATATGGTATTGTGAGTTTTTGATCCAGGCGTTAAAGACAAGTAATAATATTCTTTAACACTTTGGGGGGGGGGGTGTAAGCATCTTCTTTTGGGACAAAGCCTGTTCCTATGTTTTTCTTAGAGGCGTAATTATCAAGATGCCGGAAACCTTGCTTTACAGACACTGAGTCTCCCGGGATCTGATACTGTTAGAAAGGAATGATTCCCTAAGATGAAGCACAGTAATTCATTCATCTCCTCCTGACAATGATCTGTGATTTCTTACAAATCAACTTTCATTTATGTTCCAAAAACTGGGTTTCCTTTTAAAACGTATAGATTATTGATTGCTGGCCAGCTCTAAAACACTAGAAAAGGGTGACATATTTCTATTTCTACATGTCTAGAAATGTTCACTCCTATGTCTATTTTAATAGCATTGTTTATATTATGTGTGTATTTGTAGTGTATATATGTATTGTAAACAATCTCACGTACTTTTTTGAAGTAGCAGAACATAAATTATACAACACACATAGGGACACACCTGCAAAATTAGAAGGTAAAGTTCACTTTCCACAGATTCCATCAAAGATTTAAGGCTTTCGTTTTTTTATTTTTGATTCAGGTTTTCTTTTTTGAAATTTCTTTTCAAAATAGAAATCTCTTTTTCACTTTCATCTAAAGTATTCAGTTTGATTAAATGACTTACAATTGTTACCTGTTATATTGCCCTGTTCAAGCAAGAAAACAATTGTATCGGTAATAATATTGATTGATAGATAACATTAAATGATTATTACATTCTAGTTACTCT